GAATCTAGCTGTCTTCTATCAAATCAAACATTAAGGAGATTTGCAGAAATGTAAAACAATGCCACTCTTCTCACTAAATATTTTTTGTTTGTTTTGGGAAAATGTTATCTATGTTAACATGTGATTAAAAAGGAAGAATGACAATTCTCTAGAAAGGGAGCTTTTGGGGGAGCTCCAAGCCCATCTTCCTCCCTCCATCCTGCTAGACTGTTGGATTTCATTGGTACAATGGAGCTGGGGAGAGGGGGATATGAATAAGGCACATTAAAATGCCACAAAGCTCATTCTTACCGAGATTCAGGCAGTTTTCTCAAAAAAATGCTCCTTGGATTGTTGCAAGCATTTGGCTAATTTCTAGAGTTCTCAAAAAGTTGATTTGGGCCTTTTTTTTTTGTTTTGGCCAGTGTTCTCATTGCTTTTGTGGAGGAGTGGATTTTTTTTTAATTTTTTGTTTATTGTGGTAACATTCGTTTATAACATTGTATAAATTTCAGGTGTACATCATTATACTTCTATTTCTGCATAGATTACATCATGTTCACCACCCAAAGACTAATTACAACCCATCACCACACACATGTGCCTAATTATCCCTGTCGCCCTCCTCCCTCCCCCCTTCCCCTCTGGTAACCACTGATCCAATCTCTGTCTCTATGTGTTTGTTGTTGTTATTATCTACTACTTAATGAGTGAGATCATACGGTATTTGACCTTCTCCCTCTGACTTATTTCACTTTGCATAACACCCTCAATGTCCATCCATGTTGTCACAAATGGCTGGATTTCATCGTTTCTTATGGCTGAGTAGTATTCCATTGTGTATATATACCACATCTTCTTTATCGAGGAATGGATTTTTGAAGTTCCTTACTCTGATATTCAGAAAACGTCATCCTCTTCCAGCACTTTAAAGATATTGCTTTACTATCTTCTTGTTTGCATTGTTTCGACAAGATATCTGATATCATTCTTCTCTTTTTCTTAAGTAACAACTCTTTTTTCTCTGACTGCTTTTAGGATTTTTCTCTGTATTGTTGGTTTGGAGCAATTTTATTACAATGTGTCTTTGTGTAGTGTTTTCCATGTTTCTTGTGCTGGGGTTCATTGAACGTCTTGGATCTGTAGGTTTATATTTTTCATTAATTTTGGAAAGTTTTAGGACTTTATTTCTTCATATACTTTTCCTGTTCCCCCTCCTCTCCTTTGGAGATTCTATTTCCCCGCATGTTAGGCCACTGGAAATTGTCCCACAGCTCATTTATGCTCTTTTTATTTTTATTTTTTTAATTCTTTTTTCCTCTGTTTCATTTTGTTAGTTTCCATTGCTAGGACTTCAAGTCACTAATGTTTTTCTTCCACAATGTCTAGTCATTAATCTCATCCAGTGTTTTTTCCATCTCAGACACTCTATTTTTCATCTTCAGAAATTCAATTTAGGTATTTTTATATCTTCCATGTCTCTGCTTAACTTTTTTAACATATGGAGTACAGTTTTAATAGTTTTTTCAGCATCATTCTCTCCTAATTCTAATATCTGTGCTCATTCTGGATCAGTTTCCATTGATTGATTATTATGGGTCACGTTTTCCTGCTTCTTTTTTTTAAATAACACCTTTATTGAGATATAATTCACATACCACATAATTCACCATTTAAAGTGTACAATTCAATGTTCTTCTTAGTATACTTATAGAGTTGTGCAACCATCACCACAGTTTCAGAACGTTTTCATCACCTCAAGAAGAAACACCATACCCCTTAGCAGTCATTGCCCTTTTCTCCCCAATCGCATCCCCCCACCCCCCAGCCCTAAGCAACCACTAATCTACTTTCTGTCTCTACGGACTTGCCCATTCTGGACATCTCCTATAAATGTAATCATACAATATGCGGTCCTTTATGACTGGCTTCTTTCACTTAGCATACTGTTTTCAATATTCTTCCACGTTGTAGTATGTACCTCCTGCTTCTTTTTATGCCTAGTCATCTTTGCTTGGATAACAGACATTGTAAATTTTACCTGTTTAGGTGCTGGAGTTTTTATTATTATTACTATTATTATTATTCCTATAAATCTTCCTGACCTTTGTACTGAGTTACTTGGAGACAGCTTGATCTTGCATGGTATTCCTTTTATGATTTGTTAAGTGGGTCTGGAGCAGCACTAAGTCTAGGGCTAATTATTTCCCATGACTGAGGTAAAATCCTCCCGCATATTCTATGCCCTGTAAATTATGAGTTTTTCCACTCTGGCTGGTGGGAGCAGGCACTATCCTCTGCCTGCGTTCCAGGCCCTGTTCCCTCTAATCCATTTGGTTGGCTCTTTCCCTGGCCTTGGGTAGTTTCCTCATTTGCATGCACTGATCAGTACTCAACTGACTCCTCAAGGTAGACCCTCTGCAGTTCTCTGTGGTGCTCTTTCTGTGCAGCTCTCTCCTGACATTCTGTCCTTTGAACTCTAGCTGCTCTTGTCTCTCTGGATTATCTCAACTTAGGGAGGCCACCAGGCTCTGCCTCAGTCTCCCTTTCCTGTGCCATAGCATAGAAACTCTCCAAGCGGTATGCTAGGACAATTGTAGGGCTCACCTTGTTTCTCATTTCTCAGGGATCACTGTCCTTCATTGCCTGATGTCTATGTCTTGAAAAACACTATTTCATGTATTTTGTCTGGCTTTTTTGGGGGGGAGAGGGGTGGGTTGTTTCATGTAAGAGGGCAAATTTGGGCCCTGTTACTCCATCTTGACTGAAAGTGCATGACTGAGGGGTTGTATTTGTGACACCTTTTGACAGTGAGACCAACAGAATTTGCCAATGATAATGGAGAAGAATCAAGCATGAAATATCTGCTCTTTGACTTGAGTGACAGACTGGGTGTTATGGTACCATTGGTTGAGATGAGGGAGACAGCAGGGTTTGTGAGCCAGGGAAATTTGAGAGAATGAACATGTCAAACAGGACATAACATATGTGAGTCTGGTGTTCAGGAAAGAGGTCTAGGCTAGAGGCCTAAATTAGTGGATCTTCCAAATATTTGCAATAATTAAGGCTACAAGACAAGATGAAGTCACCTTTGTTGTTAGTGCCATTGAGTCAATTCTGACTCCTGCTGACCCTGTGTATAGCAGAGCAGAACCCTGCCCAGCCTTTTTGCACCATCTTCTCATCTTTCGGCGCTATATCAGACAATCTCCATTGCTATTCTTAGGGTTTTTATCGACAATTTTTTTGGAAGTGGGTGGCCAGGTCCTTCTTCCTAGTCTGTCTTAGTCTGTAAGCTCCGCTGAAACCTGTCCACCATGGGTGACCCTGCTGGTATTTGAAATCCCAGTGGCATAGCTTTTCAGCATCACAGCAACATGAAGTGGCCACAGTATGACAACCAACAGATGGGTGATGTGGTTCCCTGACGGGGACATGGGTGGGCGACAATGGTGATAGCACCAAATCTTAACCACTAGACCACCAGTCACCTAGGGAGGAATATTGGCTACAAAGTAAGGGGGACAGGATCATACCCAAAGATACTCCAATATTTGGAAACTGGATAAAATTGGAGGAGCAGCCAGAGATGTAGTAGAAAACCAAGAGAGTGAGAGCAAGAAACTGTGGAAAGTGCTGAGTGGTCACAGGAGAGGGTAGAGAAGTGACTGCTGGTTTGGCAAGATTATTATTCATCAGTGATCTGGTTAAGAGCAATCTCAGAGACATGGGAGTGACAGAAACCAAACTGAATTAAGTTAAATATGGTCTGGGACACAAGGAAGTAGAGACTGAAGAAAGCCAGAAGACTGGCTTTGCTGAGGGGCATAGCAACGGAGTCACGCCTAGGGCAGTATATGGGGTCAAAACTCACAAGTAAATATGTCCGTGGATGTTGACAACACAGTACTACGTGAAACAACCTAGATGGCCATCACTAGTGGAACAGCTGAACAATGCTACATTTATTCCACAGAATACCGAGAATCAGTTAAAAAGGATAAATTAAACTGATGTCCATTATATATTAATAATTGTGTGTGTGTGTGAGATTAGCCCTGTGCTAACATCTGCCAATTCTCCTCTTTTTTTGCTGAGGAAGACTGGCCCTGGGCTAACATCCGTGCCGGTCTTCCTCCACTTTATATGGGACGCCGCCACAGCATGGCTTGCCAAGCAGTGTGTCGGTGCATGCCCGGGATGTGAACCTGAGAACCCCGGGCCACCGCAGCAGAGCACGCGCACTTAACCGCTTGCGCCACCGGGCCGCCCCATAATAATTTTTTTAAAACATCAAAACAATACTTGGAAAAAAGTAAAGGATGGGTGGATTGTATCAATGTCAATATTCTGAGTGTAATATTTTACTATAGTTTTACAATGTTACCTTTTGGGAAAACCGTTCAAGTACGTGGGATTTCTCTGTATTATTTCTCAAAACTACATGTGAATCCACAATTATCTCAAAATTTAAAGGCTGAATTAAAAAATATTTCCAGTATGTACATAACCGTGGTCATTTTTTCCCACAGTAAACATTTATACCTCTTGCCATTAAAAGACCATTTTTAATTTTGTAAATACAACAAAGTGGAGGCGGGGGTATTCCCTTCCCTGGCTTCCCCTGGCCAAGAAGATAGTCTCAGCTTTCAAGGACTCAAGGTCAGGCCCCGCTCCGAGGCTCCTCAGTCGCCTCTCCAGGAGTCTGGGAGGACTACGGATTGCTAACAGGGGAGGCCACTCTAGCCCACCTCGGAGGTCCAAGTCTTGTTAGCCCAGAAGGTTAACGCCTCTAGCTCTCCAAGGAAAACCGAGGTGAGGAATTCTCGGCTCTTTTCCGCTCACCGCCGGGGAAGGCTCTCTCTCGCCCACCTGTCCTCGGTTCCCTCAGTCATGCCCTTGGGGAACCCCTCCGCCCTGTCAGGACGCTGGAATCCCTCGCGTTTGCCCCAAAGACACGGAACCTAGGCGAGGAGTGCGGCAGCCGGGTTTTCCGGCCTGGATGAGTCATTTCCGGTCACAGACTCCCTCCCCCGGAAGTGAGACCTGATGTAAACACCGGAGCCGGGCGTCAAGGCCCGCGAGGTCAGCAAGTCGGGCCGCGGGCGGCACCGAGAACCCGGGCTGAGATCGGGGACGCGTGGAGATCAGGTCAGTGCAGGCGGCGGGAGCTGGGGCATGATCCCAGAATTGGTTGGGGTCTGGGAGAGGGTGAGGGGTCTTTTGAGCAAGGATCTTGGTGGATGGGGGAATCTAGGACAGGGAACTTGAGTGGGTGCTGGTGTTGGAAGGAGTATGACAGCGGTCTTGGACATGAGGAAGTGGCGGGGGGCGGTGTGTGAGGCATCCCAGGGCAGGGTTCTTGGGTGGCGTGGGCCTTTGCAGTGGGGGGGCGGGGTCCCAAAAAGGGGATCTTGGAAGGTGGAGCTGTCTAAAGAATGGGTCTTTGGGGAGTGGGGTGGTCTGGTGGAGGTGGTTCAGGGGGGAAGGTAGGAGATTTGGATCTTGGAGGATGGGGAGGGAGTGTGCCTGGGCAAAGGTCTTAGAGAAACAGGGGTTTGAAGTAAGTATGGGGGCTCTATGTCAGGAATCTTAGAGGGGTCTGGGGCAGGCGTCTTGGGGGGGGTTGAGTTGTCCCAGGTAGGGGTTTTGGGAGGTGTGTGTCCTGGGAAAGGTTCTTGAAGGGGTAGGGGTGCCTTGGGGCAGCATCTTGGGGAGAGGATAGGGAGTCTGGAGGAGGAATCTTAGGGGGATGGGATTCCTGGAGGTAGCTCCAAGCCAGCCCATGTCAGAATCAGAGACAGCTGAGCGCATGGAAGGGGATGTCCCAGGGGTAGGGGATTTGGAGTGATAGGGGAAACCTGAGGTAGGGTCTGCAGGGCATAAGGGCATCTGGGGGAGTGTTCAGTTGGCCTTGGTTGGGCAGAAGTTAGCTTGGCACGAGAAAGGGTTGTCCTGAGGTAGGCATGGGATCCTGAAGGGGTTGGGGGAAGCCTGTGAGGAGGGAAGTTGTGAGAGGGCTCTGGGTGGTGGAATAGGTTGGGAATGTCAGAAGGGCATGAGGAAAGGAGTTCCCGTCGGGGATGGACCAACCATGGCAGGTCTCAGGGTCAGGTCAGGGAGGTGAAGGAAGAAGTGGATGTCCTAGCCCCCTTTCCCCACTTACTGACAGGTGGAGTTGGGTGCTAGGTCCAGGTGTGAAGATGAGAAGTGGGTGGGGAGTGGTTCCAGGCCATGTTGGGCATTGGGGCCAGGATTGGCTGGGGGCGGGGAGGAGATATCACTGGGACACCGCATACCCCATTGCTTCCTGACAAGCAGTCAGTGAGGGTCGGGGAGTAAGGAGGAGGTGGGGGGTCCAGGTCAGGCTAGGCCTGGAACTGGGCCTAGTGTGAGAAGTTAGAGAGGTTGTTGGCCATGCTGTTTAGGGTCTTGGGAGCTTAGAGTGGGGACCCCAGGGCTCTCCCTGTTTTTGTCTTCTTTGCAGTCCTGATAGCAGTGGGAGGAGGAAGAAGAAATCAGTTGGGGACTGGAGTTCTAGGACTCAGAGGGCATACTCTTTCCAACCCTACCCCCACTTGTTTCCAGGAAAGCAGTCCTGGACCATGACTCAGCAGCCACTTCGAGGAGTGACCAGCCTGCGTTTCAACCAAGATCAAAGTGAGAGAGGCTAGCACACCTGTATCCTTGTGGAAGGGAGGGAGAGAGATAAAGGCGAGAGGTGGGTGTTGGGCCCCTAGCTTCCCACCTGGGCATCCTTTGAGGCAGTCCGGATTCCTCCCATCCCCCAGGCTGCTTTTGCTGTGCCATGGAGACAGGTGTGCGCATCTACAACGTGGAGCCATTGATGGAGAAAGGGCATCTGGGTGAGCCATCAGTGGGTGAGAGGCAATGGGCAGAAAGGACGGGCTGGGCATTGGCTTCCACCCCCACTGACATCCTGGTCCTTGTCCAGACCATGAGCAGGTGGGCAGCATGGGCCTGGTGGAAATGCTGCACCGCTCCAACCTGCTGGCCCTGGTGGGCGGTGGTAGCAGCCCCAAGTTCTCAGAGATCTCAGGTAAGTGCCCTCATCGCATCCCACCCTTGGCCCAGATTCCCTGGAATCCTGGCCTCCCCTAGGCACCGGCAGATGAAGATATCAGAGTACCTCGGAGTCACACAGTGCGGCCTACAGCTTGGAAGTCATGGATCTTACAGCTAGAGAAGCGCTTGGTGTTTTGTCTTCATTTAACAAACATTAATTGAAAGCCTCCTGTATGCCATGTCCTTACCTATGGAGCACTTGCTATGAGCCTGGTACTGTTCTAAGCACTTTACATGTATTAACTCATTTAATCATCTCAGTAACTCTATGTAGTAGGAAGTATCACTATCCTCATTTTTACCAAGGCCCAGAGAGGTTAAGTGACTTATCCAAGGTCACACAACCAATAGCTTTTAAAATCTTCAAGCTGTCTCTCCAACACCCTCTTGCCTTGAGCCCCACTCACCATCTTGTTTTAAGAGTTTTTGTTGATCCCATTGGGACATGGCAAGAGACGCCCTAGGCGAGTCACAGAGCCCTAGGATTCCTCACAGAAATCTTCTAGGGGTATGGACTGAGACCATGGAGGCAGATAGTTACTGATGGGAAATTACAGGCCTGGGTGTGAGTCCCTACTTGGTTGCTGTTTGACTGTGAGGTTCTTGGCCAGATACTCAACCCCCTCAAGCCTCAGTTTCCTCTTTGTAAATTTCTTTTTTTTAAAGATTTTATTTATTTTATTTTTTCCCCCCAAAGCCCCAGTGGATAGTTGTGTGCCGTAGCTGCACATCCTTCTAGTTGCTGTATGTGGGACTCGGCCTCAGGATGAACGGAGAAGTGGTGCCTCGATGCGCACCCGGGATCCGAACCCGGGCCGCCAGCATCGCAGCGCGCGCACTTAACCACCAAGCCACAGGGCCGGCCCTCCTCTTTGTAAATGAGTGTAACATTTCTAGAACCTGTTCTCTCAGGAATCACGTCCAAAAGTGCTCATGCTGTGTGAGGCTCACATTGGGTATTAGCGAAAGGTTGAGCAAGTGGGTTGAGGCCCCATGGGGAGTAGGGGTGGGTCTTGTGTCACCAGGGCTGCCCCTCACCCTAAACCTTGGCACCGACAACGCACCCACCTGCCCAGCAGTGCTGATCTGGGACGATGCCCGGGAGGGCAAGGACTCCAAGGACAAGCTGGTGCTGGAGTTCACCTTCACCAAGCCAGTGCTGGCTGTGCGCATGCGCCATGACAAGTGAGCCTGAGGAGGACTGGGGGCAGGTAGGAGGTCCCCACAGCAGGCGAGAGGCTTAGCCCCGCCTGTGCATCCTGCCCTCCCCTCATGGCCATCCTGTGTTGTGATGCCCACAGAATCGTGATCGTGCTGAGGAACCGCATCTATGTGTACTCCTTCCCTGACAATCCCCGAAAGCTGTTTGAGTTTGACACCCGGGACAACCCCAAGGGTGAGAGGACCCAGATATGCAGGTGTAAGGGCAGGAGGAAGTGAACGGGGCAGAGGGGCAAAAACGAGAGAACGGAAGGGGCACACACAGGGAAACTGGGAAAGAGGCAGGGAGAGAGGCTTGGCACAGAGATGCTCAGAAGGGCTGAGAGATGCTCATATTCCCAGTCTATCCATCTTTCCATCCCTTAGCCGGTTCTCTCTCCCCACCCTCAACCTTGCTCCACCCCTGGGTGCCCCAGATAGCAGAGCAAAAACACCTAGTAAGGACATGAGTGCATATGTCAGGGATCCCTGGGCCTCCTAGAGGTGCCACAGCTGCATAGGGAGGAAGGGAATCTGCCTCGCTGGTGGGGAGCACAGCCGAGGGCAAGCCCCCTGAGGATTCTTTGGGTAACATGCATCATGGAAGGTCGAAGTCTGGCCCTTATCCAGCTCTGTCCATTCTGAAACCCTGCCTGGCCCCTGCCTCCCCTTCACCAGCCTACCCTCACTTCATCCTCACACCCTAGGGCTCTGTGACCTCTGCCCCAGCCTGGAGAAGCAACTGCTAGTGTTCCCAGGACACAAGTGTGGGAGTCTGCAACTTGTGGTGAGTCGTCCAGTGGGCAAAGAAGTGTAGGTGGGTGGGCTGGCTCCCCCTGTGGACCCTTGGCCCCTGCCCTCCACACTACCCCAAGCCCGGACTGCTCCTTCCACTGCAGGACCTGGCAAGCACAAAGCCCGGAACTTCATCTGCTCCATTTACCATCAATGCACATCAGAGCGATGTGGCCTGCGTGTCCCTGAACCAGCCAGGCACTGTAGTGGCCTCGGCCTCCCAGAAGGGCACCCTTATTCGCCTTTTTGACACGCAGTCCAAGGAGAAACTGGTGGAGCTGCGCAGAGGCACTGACCCCGCCACCCTCTACTGGTGAGCAGAGGGTATGTGTGGTGGGCTGGTGACCCCACACCATGTGACATGTGGGCATCCCTGCTGGTCTGTCTTCCAGCATCAACTTCAGCCATGACTCCTCCTTCCTGTGCGCTTCCAGTGATAAGGGTACGGTCCACATCTTTGCTCTCAAGGATACCCGCCTCAACCGCCGCTCCGCGTGAGTACTCCCTCTCCCACCCTGCTGCATCCCCATTCCCCTGCCCATGTACCACACCTGGGCTTAGCCAGTACTGCCTGCAGGCTGGCTCGCGTAGGCAAGGTGGGGCCTATGATTGGGCAGTACGTGGACTCTCAGTGGAGCCTGGCAAGCTTTACCGTGCCTGCTGAGTCAGCCTGCATCTGCGCCTTTGGTCGCAATACTTCCAAGAATGTCAACTCGGTCATTGGTGAGTAGGACTGGCCCTTGACTGGGGGTACTGCATGGGCAAAGCCCTGCAAGTTTGACCTGAAAGAATTTTAGGGCGTGGGAAGCCTGAGGGAGCTAGAATGGGTAGCTCAGCTCCATCATCAGTAAGTGGGATGGCAGGTGGGCAAAGGCCTGGAGGTAGACCCTATGCCATGGGACACCTGAGAGGACTGGAGTGTGTGGCTTCAGCAGCCTCTAACCTTTTACCAATCCTCTTCCTCTCTCCAGCCATCTGTGTAGATGGGACCTTCCACAAGTACGTCTTCACTCCTGATGGAAACTGCAACAGAGAGGCTTTCGATGTGTACCTTGACATCTGTGATGATGATGACTTTTAAGGACCCTGTGGGTTGTGCTAGGAACCTATGGTGGCATATTGCAAAGCCTTTGAGGGATTGGGAGTGCTGTGGAAGCCATCAGCCAGCAAGCATTAATGGGGCAAGCACCCGCTTTCTACTCAGCAGAGCAGTGCCTAAAAAGCTCATTTCCCCCAAGCACTTCTTGATGACCGTGTGCCCTTGAAGACTGTGGGCCCCTAGGGCCAGGCCAGGGACCCTGAGAAGGAAGCAGACCCCCTGAGGCTCCCAGCCTGGAGAAGACTGCTAGGGAACCAGAGGGAGTGCCCTAATCCAACCTGTGGGGATTAAAAAAAACTTCCCAGGAAGAGACGATCTCTGATGTAATGAATATGAATTAATAAAAGGCCCTTAATGGTATTTATGGCTGGACCTGGGGGGGGGGGGCTGGAGGAGATGAGGCTGAAAAGGCCCTGCAGGAGTTTCCAGGAAAGGTGTGACCCTCTCGGACCCTGACAGGAAGGAAGTGGGAACCTGCTTGGGTCCCTCTGACAGTCCCCGTTGTCATCTCTCTGCATGTCCTCCAATGTCTGGCTACTGTGTGCATAAGCCAGCAGCACCACCCGCAATAGTCCCTGGTGGTGCCCCGCCCGGGAGTGGGTGGGAACTCCTTACACCTTGGCTGAGACTTGATTTCCCGGCAGCCCTTGCTGCCTTGCAGTTCTGGCGTCTTGTTAGCATTTCCGGTCACGTGCATTACTGCTCCTGCGCAGTCCACCTAGGTGGTTAGGGAAGCCTCTGTATGGCTCAGAGTCCGTTTCCCGGTGTCCCCCGCGGTGGTGCGGGGTGTAACGGCTGTTGTAGTCCGGCCGCTCTTGTGGCTGGTCCAGCTACATCCACCGGCAGGATGTCGGAGGTGCGGCTGCCCCCGCTACGCGCCCTGGACGACTTCGTTCTGGGGTCGGCGCGTCTGGCGGCCCCGGATCCGTGCGATCCGCAGCGATGGTGCCACCGTGTTATCAACAACCTCCTCTACTACCAGACCAACTACCTTGTCTGCTTCGGCTTCGGTCTCGTTCTGGCCGGGTGAGGGAGGGAGGGAGGCGCCCGTTGGCCGGGGATGCCTGCAGGACATGGAGGGTAGACCCGCGGGATTTTGAGGACTGGGAGGGGTAACCTGAGGGGAGTGCAAGGCCTGGAAGAGCGAATTCAGTAGAGATGGAAAACCTAAGGGGCAAGGGAGGGAGGACTTGAAGGAAGTGGAACCTGGTTATGAGGAGGGCCTGGGGCTGGATAGAGCCTGGCTGAGGGGGCCCTGATGGGGATGGAGGGTCTGAAGGGAAGACCTGGGGAGGATGGACAAAGTATGGAACCAAAGGGGAAACTGTGGGCAGGGAGGTGGACCTGAAGAGAAGGAGGGTCTGAAAGTGGAACCTGAGTGTGCCTGGGAGGTGATGGGGCGATGTGAGTGATGGGGCCAGATTAAGGCGTCTCCGGACGACTTACGACGGGGGACAGGGGCGTGGTCAAGTTGAAGGGTGTGGAGGGTGGACTTGTGGAGGATCTGGGTTTGTAGGGGAGCCTGGATATGATTGGAATGCCCAGGAGCAGGTACCTGTTGGGGAACTTGAGCCAAGAGGGAGGACCCAGGGATGGAAGGCCCAAGACCAGAGAGGGATGGAGAACCTGGAGGAGGGACTTGGACAGGGTTGGAAGTTAAGAGTGGGACCGAAAGCCTGGAAGGGGTTCTAGCAATGATGGAGGGAGGAATATATAGGGAAATGGGAACCTGGAGGGCGAATTTGAAGGGGGAGGAAGCCTCAAAGGGGGTCTTCTAAGTACCCTGGGCCTGGGGACAGAAGGCCTGGAATCTGCAAGGGGTGGGCTCAAAGCGTGGGTTTGGGGGCAGGTTTGGGGGTAGGGGCGCTGGAGAGGGGCCCTGCCGGGTAGGGTCGGAAGGAAAGGGCGGGGAGCCCGGGGACCTAGCGGGATGGGAGGGCCTGAACCTGAAGCGGGAGATCTCAGGAAGATGGGACTGTACGATTGACAAGAAAGAAATGAGGGTCCACAGGGAAGTCCAGGGCTCCTGGAGCCGGAAGCCCTGGAGGGTGGACTTGTCGGAGACAGGGCTGGTGGGAGTATTTGCCAGGCTGGAGGGTCCAGCGAGATGGAACCAAAGCTCTTGGGGCCCAGGATCGGGTGGGCGGTGGTCCGGAAGGCTCGGAGGCCGGGCGGCCCTCTCCCCCCTACCCGGCTAGCTTAGTTCCATTGTGCTCGCAGGTACATGCGCCCGTTGCACACCCTCCTAAGCGCGCTGGTAGTGGTGGTGGCCCTTGGCGTGCTGGTGTGGGCAGCTGAGACTCGCGCAGCCGTGCGCCGCTGCCGCCGCAGCCACCCTGCCGCTTGCTTGGCCGCGGTGCTTGCCGTCGGTCTCCTCGTTCTCTGGGCCGTAGGCGGCGCTGGGACCTTCCTGCTCAGCATCGCAGGGCCCGTGCTTGGTGAGTCTCCACTATCCTGAGTTAGCCGGGAAAACGGCCAGTGCGTGCGCACGGCACCAGGCCTGCCCTGCCCTGGTTCCCGGGCCAACAGGGGGCTGGGACACCCGGCGGGCGTGGCCACACCCCCTTTACAAAGCGCCTTCTGTGGCTTCGCTCCCCTCTTCTGGGAATGCCCCGCTTGCTACCGCCTTTCCAGGCCTCACTCTATAGTAAGTGCCTTCCACCAGCCAAGTCCCCGTTACTGTGCACCCTTCCTAGGCACGCCCCTGTTGCAAAGCGAATTACTCGGCCACACTTTCAGGATTAGAGGCGTCCTGGCCACTGACCACTCCATGCCTGCCTGTGCTCCAGTTTCCTTCTGTGACCCCCACTGGCTAAAGGCTGATGTCCCATCTCACTGACCCCACTTCTCTCGGTACTGCCCATAGTGATCCTGGTGCACGCCTCGCTGCGCCTGCGCAACCTCAAGAACAAGATTGAGAACAAGATCGAAAGCATTGGTCTCAAGCGGACGCCAATGGGGCTGCTACTGGAGGCGCTGGGACAAGAGCAGGAGGCTGGATCCTAGGGACCTGGGATCTGTACTCAAGACCTGGAGAGCGCCACCCCCACGCCGGCCTGTACTGGAGACCCAGAGCCCTTTCCCAGCCCTTAAAATAGGAGCCCCCTCCCCAGTTCAAAAAGCAGGACATCTGTGACCCTCCCCCCAGGTCCAAAACTGGGATATTCCTCATACCAAGCACCCATTACCTAAAGGACCAGAGTCTTCCCCAGCCCTGAACTTGGGACCCAGAGCCACTGGCATCCAACCCACAGCTGGGGCTTGGAGACCAGAGCATCCATGGCCAACCTCAAACTCTGGACCTAGACACTCCCCCCACCCCAGTCTGGGACCCAGCCATCTCCCATGCTCAGCCCCAAAGCTGGGATCTGGGACCAAGGCATTCTCAAATCTTGAACCCTGAACCAAGGCTTTTCCAGACCCCACCGCAGCTTTGAACCCAGGTCAAGGCATTGCCAAATCTTGAACCCAGGACCCAAGTGTGTCCAGCTCCCATCTGGGCAGAGGATTCAGGTATCCTAACCTTGTTGAACCCTTGGTCCCAGGTGACTCCAACACTCACCAGTCCCACTTGCCTCCCTCCCTCTCTGCTTAGGGAGTCGTCCCCTCCCCCACCAAAGTTCCTCAGTGGTGAAGACCAAGGGTTGAGGTGGGGTGGGGGCAGCGTGTACCAGGAATGGGGCATATATATCAGTGTTGCTGCAACAATAAAGGCTGTTGCATCGTTCAAGCCAATTTGGGCCTCCTAGGTCAAGTCTGCACGTTTCAATGGCCAGAAGTAGCCTTCTGCTTTTCTGTTCTACGTAAGACTCTTTTGACTGGGTCTCTCTCTGTCAAATGGCGTGGGCTGAAGGGGTGAGCTCTCAGTTCCTTCCTTGAACTTGTTACCTCTGGAGCAGCATTAATGCACAAGGTAGTTAAGGGCACAGAGTATTTCCTGCTATTTGTATTACTTAGGGCTCTTGTTGAGGGCTGGCTAGGAATTTGAAGGCAGACAGGCAAAGAATTTACCCCACATCACAAAGCAAGTAAAGCCAATGTGGATGACATTATCACAGGCTGTTTCCACAGTGTTATATTTTTTATAACATGGTGTTATAAAAATATATTATGTGGTCTTAACTATAGGTGTGGGCTCCCAAGGCAAGGCAGATAGAACACATGGGTTCAGTTTACACATTTATTATAGAAATCCCCTTCCAGTGTGGGTAGTGTCTTGGGCCCAGATCCACTGGTACAAAAAGAAAAGTTTAACACCAGGTAAAGGGGGCAGGGGAACCCCCAGCTCCAGAAAGTCACAGACAGGTATAGAAAACACAGCTTGTGTGGATTTGTTTAAAAAGTGGTGGATGGAAAGAAAGCCAAGGAAGACGTGACGTAGCCTGTGGCCAGACGTCACCTGAGGATTTTACGGGCATCTACCAGATGCCAGGTTCCACCACCGCAGCATCCCAGGACACAACACACCCGATGGCTCTGCCCTTTGGCCCTCCTGCGGGGCCTCCCGACTGGGGATAGTCAAGGCGGAGGCTGCCGCTGAAGGCTGGGCCATCTCACCCTGTGGGCAGAGACAGTGGGCACAGACAGGCAGACAAGGCCTGGGGCTCCTTCAGGCACCCCCGGGGTTGGGAAAATGAACCCAAGCCCCCTACCCAGACTCCAGTCCTTCCAAATGTGGGCAGAGAGCCCACCTCCCCAAGAACTGCCCTGGTGAGGGGTGGCAGGGAGTTCTGTTAACACGAGTCTCCTGGCTGCCCCAAACAGGGTCCTGAGACCCTATATGGTCCATTTTGTGGAGGAGTTCCTGAATGGAATAGGCTGGGCACAGGGACAGGAATGAACCCAACCAGGACGAGATCACAGTTTCCCTTTCATAAAACGTCTAGTGTTAGGGGAAGACAGTGAATACCTAAATCACAACTGTAAACAGAAATGGAGGAAGGGGCTTGGAGTCCCCATTACACCATCCCCCCTCTTTTAAGCTTGCTTAGGGCCCCCAGTTCCCAGCACAGTGTGAGAGGAGAAGCAGGGTGTCAGACACCTTCGTGGACCCGCGGGGAGCCAGGGGCCTTTGAAGATCAGGTTGGCGCCCCAGCCCAGGACCGAGAGCAACCACACCCCAGGGCTCAGCGAAGTTAGCTGTGTGCTCCCCCGACTGGAGTCATGCCCAGGCCAACAAGGGGCATATCAGAAGGTGTCAGACCAGTGTCCCCGGGGTCTGGGGGTCAGAACTGGAGGACTGCTCCCCCTCTAGCGTCAGGTCACTTAAACGAGCGCTCAGCTCCGGGGAGTACAGGAAGTCCGCGTAGTATCTTTAGAAGGGGTAGCAGGAATCCGGAGGACAGGGGGGGAAGACAGAG